TCAACTAAAAAAAATAGTAAAGGACTAAAAAGATCCTAGTAAAGAAAAAGAAAAGAAATGTGAAAGTATGAAAAAGAGTGGAGAAGCTTGAGGATTAGAACCTAATTAAAAATTAAATTTATTTGAATCTTTCTAAAGGAGACTTAAGAGCAATCGTGCATTTGATATATATTCAAAAAGTATTAGTAAAATTCTTTTCAAAATAAAGTTATTATTTCTAAAATTTATATTTTTCTAAGAATTCAAAGTTTTGAGAAATTTTAATTATTTCTGAATTAGATAGAAAATCAATATTTCTAAGTTTAATACTAAATATTCTCACACTTTAGATATCAAATGATTTATTAGAACTATTTCTAGGTTGGACTATAAAATTTTTAGAACAAAATCTTAGGTCATCCTAAAAAAACCCACTAACATAAATCAACATATTTTGGCTTTTAAAATTAGTAGTATCACTTGAGAACGAGTAATGTTTAAGTTTAGGAGATTTTGACAAGCCTGAAAATGTGTTATTTTTCTATATATATTTAATGCTTGTTTTTTTTGATATTACACTTTAAAAGAATGTATTTTTTTCTTTATTAAAGGTACAATATATTAAGCAATTGGAGTAAATGGAGTGAAAATAGAGCAAAACAAAGTCAAATGCAGCAAAGGATCACATAGTGAACTGGCGCCTAAGCACCAAACTCTGTACGTAGAAACAGAGAGCCCAACATCATGGTGCCAGTATTGGTGCCTTAGCGCCAGGAGTGACTCCTAGGTGTCAGGAAGTTATCCTATGCTTCTAGAAGACTGGAGCTTAAGTGCTACGGTTGGGCGCCAAGGCACCAGAATAAGTTTTTTTCTAAAAATTTAATGTATTTGGATGAATTTTGAAGGGGCATCAAAAGTGACTCTTGAGGATTTTGAGGGTTATCTTAAGGGGGCTTGGGGTCTCTTTATTTTAGGAAGAGTCTTTTAGAGTTCCTAGTGACTCTTGGCACTTTGGAAAAAGAGAGAAAGGGAGGAATTGAGAGATCTCTTCATTTCTTGTATTTATATTTTAAAGATTGGAGAGGAGCGTAAGGGATTGCTATTTTTTGTGCAAGGAGGGCATTAATATTGTAAAGATAATTCTTGCACTCTTTTTGTATTTGCTTTAACTTATTGTGATATAGTTGTATGATTTTAATATCATTTGTAATGAAGAATCCATATGTTTTCTCTATGCTTAGTGAGTAGTTTTCCTTATTCTTTCCTTTTATTATGAAATAGTGATATGCGTAAGAAAATTTGTTTTAAGATAGAATAAGTTTAATTTCTATGTTATGAGTAAAATCTCCGTTGCTTCATTGACATAATATACTAGCCCTAGGTTATGTTAAAATTTGTTTCAAGTTGAGACTAAAACTCAAAAGAGCAGTGACTTCACAACTTGAGTGCACTCACATTATCCGGTTGGGTATGATTAAGTAGTCAGGCGGTGATGCAACTTTTAAAGGAAATATACTTCATGATCTGTTTCGATTAAGAGCTTCTAGGTGATAATTGATGTAAGTGATTGGGTTCCTTACCATGAGTTGTAAAGCTTTTTAACCACCTTCTCATCTCTACTGGTTTTGTAAACCTAATAGAATATTGTGCTCATCTATATACTCAGAAGAGGGTAGGTAGACCTATGTTCCTTGTTGGCACAAAAATTACTACATAATTCTAAAAATTATTTTACTGCTTATGTCATTATCTTCATTGCAAGAGGGTAGGGATTTTGATTATATAAGAACTTTCTAAAATTTAACCAGGATATGCATATTAGGTTTTTATTTAATTTAGTTAACTTTAATTTTAAAGTAAAGTAGTGAATTTAGGAAAATCAAACTTTTCAAAAATTTCAGGCTAAGACGAGTTATTGTAGACTATAACTTTTATTGAAGTCGTTACAAATTAATGTCTTTTCTTATGGGATTGATAATCAGGGTTTTTGAAAGGGAGCTCTATGATATTTGAATGATACGTGCACTTGTGTAATATCTCTAATGTATAATATTGAATTGTGAAAAAAATAAGAATTATTTGTTAAATAGCACTCCACTGGGAATTAAGGATGCAAGCACACATGAGTAGTGGAAGTCAAGTTTTTGGCACCGTTGGTTGGAATTGAAATTGAAGTAATTACACATGAAACACACACATATTGTCGGGATCAGTACACAAAAATATCTCATGAAGGTCATAAGAAGAAGCGGTAGGAGCAATATTGCTGCGACGGAGATCATCCGCTTGCTCTCTACCCCTACCCCCACCATTACTATACTAGCACTGCCACCTAATGCGATTGCGCTGACATGGAGTTCAACTGAGGCCCATACTTCTTGTCTTAGACTAGAGTTGACCAGAACTAGCTACCACATCAAGCTTGTGGGATGTGGGGAACAAATAAGTTTTTTTAAGATATTGAGAGCCATGCTTTAATTTTTTTAATTTAATATAAAAATGATCATATATATATATATATATATATTTTCAATTTTTATCCCCCAACACAACTGATTCACGTCATTTTGTATATCATCCGGAGCAAGTACGACTCTCCGTACTTGTCGTAGAAGGATGTCTTGGTGGTAGTTCAGGATCTGTGGTTCTGGGAGTTTTTAGTATATACCAAACATAGTAATTTTAAGTATTGTTTATATTTTTATCAATATAACATTTTTTATTTCATTTTGTAGAAATATTTTTCATGATATGTTGCCCACATCTAGAGGAACTTTGATCGCAAGGAGAGTGACCGCCTTTAAGACATGTTTGACAAGGTTAGGAAGTCACGACAATGCCCCTTATGGCTTGGGGAGGATGTTTTTGGCTCACTATTCAAGGCTTGAGAGTCTCTAGAATACAGAAGGAAGAGCAAGTATGTAGAACAAAATTGTCTCTCATACTGCTGTGGAGGCATGGAAACCGCCAAACACACTAGTGGGGCGCTCCCACACACAAAATATAAGAGGAGGCTGGTAAGTTTTTATTTCTTCTTTAAATTTTATTTTTAATTATATTTTGACTATTTCATTACATTGATAGGCTATGCAGTTGAGATGAGATTCCTCTGCTGCCAAGGTGCACAAACACACACTTAAGCGATAGTTGGATTAGGTCTGGGTTGACGGCAAATCCCGAGTGACCTAGAAAATTCTTGAGCTAAACTAGTTTAATGTTTATTCACGCTCTAGCAATTCATAACCATTTTTTAGGAAAAATTCTAGAAGTTTAATGAGAGCAGAACCTAGCTGTCAGGCGGAATTACGATCCGATATCATGAGGTGTTCGAGTACAAGCTGTGGAGGGAGGCTGCCAGAGGCAAGAGGAAGGGTTAGATCTTTGGGCTAGGGTTTCAGGCACATGCCTCCGACACCCACCCCTCCACCAGCGCATCCAGGGTATCTACTTCTACCGCATAGGAGGAGGAAGTTTGTAGGTGGGTTGTTGCATTTGCCACTGATATGGAAAACGAATTCGCAGCCCAAATCAGCCATATGAGGTTGGAATTGGAGGCCAATTGAAGGTCGAATTAGATGCATTCCAGCATCGGGTGAAGTGGTGGGGGAAAGAATCCAACGACAGATGCTATCGAGAATGAGGAGAATGATGATGAGGAGGAGACATAATGATTAGCTATGGTTATTTTTTATTTGTACATAATTTTTCAAACATTCGAGCAAAAATATTTTGTATTCAACAGTTATGTATATTTAATTAAATGCATTTTTTTAATTATCTGTTCGATTGGACAATTTATTATTGCAATTTTAGTCTGGCAAATATTTGGATTGGTTAAACGTGTTGTAGTTATCGCTTTTTTTTTGGTCGATTGCAAGTGTAGAAATCATAACTATGAAATAGGAGAATTATTTATTTTTTGATATTACAGGTTTTCGATGGCTTTCCATCTGACTTTCAACGATATATTGAGCAATTGTGGTACAATCCGATAGTAAAAGTCATCGGTTTTAATACCAACACATAACAGACTCATATTCGACGACTTTAACCGCAACAAAAAATTGACAAATTATCCAGTTTACCGACAGTTACCTGTTCGGTTATAATACTGCACATGCCCAATGGATAACCGATGACATTGACTGCAACAAAAAATTGATAATTGTTACCCGATGCTAAAGCAACTACTATATTCGACGGTTATAGCCACTGGTAATCACTTGCCGAAAAAAGCTGATGGCTTACCCCCATTTTCAAATTCATCATAAAGTGATGATCATAGCATGTTGGAAGTCCATTGGCACATAAAAGTCGTCGGAAACTCTTTTAGTTTTCAAATTACTGGGAAGAATTTTTGCTACACCCTAAAAACTGCCGACAAATCATTGGAGTGATGGCTTACCCCCATTTTCAAATTCATCATAAAGCAATGATCATAGCATGTTGGAAGTTCATCGGCACATAAAAGTTGTGGGAAACTCTGTTGGTTTTCTAATTGCTCATAAGAATTTTTGCTACGCCCTTGAAACTGCCGACAAATCATTGGAAATTGGAGAATCATTAACCGGTAATTTATTTGTTTTAACAGATGATATTTGATGATCATAAATAAGCTAAATGAATCATTAAAATAATTAAAAAAAATCACCATAATAATCATAAAATTAATTATGACCATTTGACAAGCTTAAAGTGGATCAAGAAGCCATCAAATAATAAAATATCTAAAAGGAAGTAGCATTGCTGAAGATTCATTGGTAAGATGTTTGACTGTGGATTAAATAAGAGGAATTCCACTTTCAATTTTAACTGAAAGATGGACTAAACAATCCTCTTATCATCCTAAAATTGCAACTGAAATTTCTTACAGAATACTCGCAGAGCTCAAGAAAGAATTATTTTCTTAAATGTAGTGTTTAATCAACGATATACCAAAGACCAATTTCATTTAAAATAGAGTACAAAACACCAACATAAAAGTAGTATTATTTACGAAGTAATTTACATTGATTGTCTTTCATAATATGTTCTTGCAGAGACTAATATACCACAGAACATGAACACCATGTTGAAAAGTACTGACATTATAAATCATACCCAATCCCATACTCCTGAAGCATAGAATCAGCCTGAAGAGCCAAAGCCAAATCTGACAAACTTGGCAAGGATTTCTCATCAAGTCCAATGCTTCCCCACCAATTTATCTCCTCTTCAAAATTCAATTCTCTAAAACTATCAATGCCACTAAAAATTTGACTTTCTGTACCACGAAACAAGTTTCCATGTAAGGAATTATTTATATTAGTTTGCTCTCTTGGTTCCTTGGCTTGTTGGGAAAGCTTCAATGGATGCATAGTAGTTGTGGATTGCATGTGAAGTTGTAGCATTTCAAGGGAAGATGTAGTTAGGGTTTTTGAGGATCCATTAGGGTTAGGGTTAGTATTACAAACCTTCTCGTTCGAGTGATGGAGGAGATGGGATGTGGATGACATGTATCTTTGCCAGTCAAGGAGCTTCTTTTTTAGTCTGGTATTCCAATAGTTTTTTATGTCGTTATCTGTTCTTCCTGGGAGCTGACTTGCTATAATTGACCACCTATATGAACATGTATAGAATTTTTTGTAGTGTAAAGATTGCATAAGAATTTTACTTTATAAGTTATTAGAATGAAAAAGAAAATATTGAGTACTAGGTTTTGATAAGATATGTACCTGCTTCCAATGGTTATGAAGAGATTGCAAATGATTTGATCTTCTTCTTCTGAGAAGCCCCCATGTTTGATATTTGGCCTTAGATAGTTCAGCCATCTCAGCCTACAACTCTTACCACATCGTTTTAGACCTAAAATAATCATCAATATATATGTCTAGTAATTTGATTAAGTGGTGGAAGGATAAAGTACTAGATAGTTTTATTTTTACAATGTTCCATGTTCCTGAGATTGGATTTTAATAGAAGTTAGTGCTATGAAAAACCAACAAAGGGCATTCTATTTTTCCTAGTCAATTCAGAATGAACTATTTCCTTTTGACTAAACTTCAATCATTTAAAAGCTATAGAAAAATTTCACCATTAATTTGCTCGGAGTGTTTCAAAATTTTACCTGCAGAATTGCTCATCAATAATTATACAAGCAAAACATATGAATTTTTTACGACTCCTTTCAATAATTATACAAGCAAAACATATGAATTTTTTATGACTCCTTTAAAATTAAATACGACTCCTTTAAAATTACATGAAGTTATGAAGAAACTTTCATTAATTATTGTGTTTAATTTGCAATTCATTAGCTTGAATTATGAAAGTTTATTGTATTTATTGTGGGGCATTATTTCATGTAATTCATTAATGAAAGTTTAATTTGAAATTCATTTTTATCTTGAAAACACAATAAGGAATGTATAGGGAGAAACAAAAATTGAAGAGCAAAATGATACCAATCTTTTGAGGGAGAGCAATCCAGTTGCCACCAGTTCCCTGTTCTTCGATGTAGGACTTGAGCTTTGCATCTTCCTCAGGAGACCAAGGACCCTTTTTCACCTTGGCCTTATCACAGCAAGGAGCTCTGCCCATCTCTCTCTGTCTCTCACTCACTCTAAGAGACAAAGCTGTTTGAAGTTTTTGAGCTTAATTATTGCTTTGAACTCCAAATAATGGAGAAGAAGATGTGAGTAGCGCAGAGCTTTATAGGGATTGAAAGGCACCCGGAGAAAAAGAAGGAAGATGTGATGTGATGTGATGCATGAGCTCGGACAAAGTTGTTGTTCAGCGAATTTTTGGTATTTCATAGGACCCCACTACCTTTGTGTCTCTCCTTTCTCCATGTAATACAATCACGTGCTCTGGACGCAAACCGGCGCATGGCCGCCTTTATTTCTTAGCCATGTTAACTTCAATAAAAAACGTAGGTAAAACAAAAGTCCACAATGAAGGTTTCATCTGTGTGTGTGTGTGTGTGTGTTGGTTGAGCATCGGCTTTGTCCGTCACGTTTAATAGCATCTGGCCATTCAATATACAAAATCTCCCTCTCCGCCGGCAAGAGGATATTCATATGCTTCCTATTATTACGCTCCATCCATATGAACCATTAACAAACAGAAGGCATCAAACCTTGCAAATGAATTTTATTGGTGTGCCCAATCCAATTAGCCAAACTTTGCTCAAGAGAATTATACCCAACAATAGGAATAAGAATATTAACGTAATTAACGTTTCAATCCAAACACTAGAAGCATGCCTGAACATAAAAAAGAGATGCAGAAAAAGATTTCTCCTTTTGTCTACAAAGCAAGCAAATGATGTAAAAAGAAGCCCTTTTAGTTTTAATATGTCATCCGCCGGTGGGAATTTAAATTTGAGCCTCCAATTAAAGAAAGCTTGCGGTTGTTTGTGTAAAGTATTCCAGATATTGACAATACCTTTAACCACTTCAAAATTATAAATTTGTTATGAAATGCACTTAGAAATAAAAAACCTCTTTTTTGCTTTGCCCAAGCATGATCTTTTTCTCCTATATAAAATTGTATTTTAGATATGATTTTCATCCAATCGTTGCCCACCAGGTTTTGGAGTTTATATTTGTTCCACTCATCCCTGCTCCAAAAAGCCGCCACCTTAGTTTTTAAATTGTTATGTAACCAAAATTTAGTATGTAAACGACACCACAAGGTCCAATCATCAAGTCAAAAACTTAATATTACATTTAACCAGCTTCCTAACAAGCATCAACTCCGCTTTGCCTCTAATTTTTATTATTTCTTTCCACAAAATTGAGTCTCCAAATCTAGGCTTGGCCAAAAGAGGATTTTTATTGTAAAGATAATTTCTTTTCATGAAAAGAGCCCATAGATTAGATTGAGCACAAAATCTTAACCAAAGTTTACAATCATTCACTTCCATTATATGCTTGAAAGATTTGTAACCCATACTGTTGGCATGCTTAGGTTAGCATAACTTATCCTAAGAAACCCAATCTATGCCCTACCATGGCTAACCAAAGTTTACAATCATTCTCTCCAAAATTTAAACTGGCGCCTAAGCGCCAAAATATAGAGAAGACGGCACCTAGGTGCCAGATTGCGGCGCCTAGACGCTCGAGATGGTTCTTTTCACAAATGCAATGAATTTGGATGGATATTGAAGAGGTGCACATGGAAACTCTTGGGAAATGCATCCCTACATTATAAATGAGTGTGTTTATGTCAGGAAAAGTGGTGTGTTGTTTGTAAAGGTGTGGGGTGTGAGTTCTAAGTTGGTGAAGAGTGTTGCAAGTGTCTTTAAGAGTTGTAAGAGGAGAGAGAAAGTGAGGAATTCTTCTTCCTTACATTTCTAAGAGAGATTTGAGTGTTATTGTAAAGAGAGAAAGAGATTCAAAGGAACTTCAAGGGATTTGCTTGGGGAAGAGATCGAACTAAGTTGATTTGCTTTTCTTTCTTATTTTGTAAACTTATTTTTATATATAAAATTCATGTTTTCTTGTATCTTTCTGAATTTTGAGTAGGTTTCTTTGTTCTTCTCCCTACAAAGAGAAATGGTCATGTGAAGAATCAAGATTGTTGTGTATTATTTTAATTTTATATTTGTTATGATTTAAACTCCGAACTTCATTTACTTTTCAATCTAGCAAATTGAATTGTTAAAATTTATAGTGAAGCATATGATCCGAAAGGGCTGTGCTTTCCACCAAAAAGTAAGAATCACATTCGATTTCATGGATGAGAATGTAGTCTATGTCGTTAGGTGCAAATAAATAGAGAAATATTCATTGATGGGAGTAGAATTGAATATTTTAGGGTAACAAACTAAAATCTCCAATTTTTTCCAGAAGTTTGGAAACTAAAGCAAGATGTTAGCCCTAAGGTGAGGGGAACGTGGGAACTTTAGAGTGAGAGATGTTAGCCCTCAGGTGAGGGGAACGTGGGAACTTTAGAGTGAGAGCAAATTTCTTCCCAGCCTATCCACTGATTTAAGGCCTAAACATTGGATTAGCCAATGTTTTTTTATCGCTTGTAAGAAGTTTAAATAATATAATTGCTCATATTTGGCACAATACAGTTTTATTCAATTTAATGATTCACTGACTATAACCTCGTTGTAAGGGGAAGGATGCATTTATAAATTTAAACACTTCGTCACAAAACCTAGTTTAGTTTTAGTAAATTTAGCTTTGAAGTTTAGAGATTAGTGTAGTAAACTTAGTTTCTTTAGTGGCATTAAACAAATTTCAACCTATTTTCCTACTTGAGTTTTCTATAGTTCAAAAATCGTGCTTTTGTTTGATTTTTCAAACAAATTTTTACCTTCTTTGTGGGATCAATACTTAAGACTCCAATAGAGTTTTTTATTACTTGAGCAATATGTATACTTGCGTTTGCAACCCAATGATGATTTGAAATTGAACATACACCTTAATTCACTAGGAGTGGCAGCTTTAGATATTTTATAGGATAAAACTTATTATACTAAAGTAAATTTTATTGTGGTTAAATTGCATATTTTTTAGTATAGATCTCTTGTGTGTTGTGGTGTTGAAAAACATTTATAATGAATAACAAAAACCCACATCAAATTTCTGATGCCATTGTCGGGGAGACTACGGTAAATTTCTTAAGAGATTTATTTGAATTATAAATTTTATTTAAAAGAAACAACAAAATAATATAAAAAAAAAGAAAACAACAAAAATATTTTCATGCTTGTGTGAGTGCTTATCTTTACAAAGTTTACTTGTGTTTGTGTATGCAAAGATTAAGATATGAAGGATTAGTACCTTACGATTCAAAATTAGAACAAATTATAAAAAAATTTTGAAAACAAAAAGAACTTAACAACAAAAAGAACTTAACAAAATGGCAACAATTTAAATAACCAATGTATGGAAAATGAACATCAATAGAGACAATTAAGAGACTATGCTAACTCTATAGTAGATGAAATTCACTTGACTATACAAACTTCTGCTGTAGCTACTAATTCATTTGAGCTTAAACCTACTATTATCAAAATGGTATAAAATAATCAGTTTGGGAGAACACCATCTGAAGATTCAAATTTATATCTTGCTTGTTTTCTATAAATTTATGCAACATTTAAATATGATGGAGTGTTGAATGACGCTGTCAGACTTAGAATTTTTCCTTTTTTATAAAGGGACAAAGCTAAGATGTGGTTAAACTCTTTAGCAATTGGATCAATCAGAACTTGGAGAGAATTATCTCAAAAATTTTGGCTAAATATTTCCCATAATGAAAAATTGCTAAGCTTAGAAATGATATTACATCTTTTGTGAGTTTGAAAGGGAATCAACATATGAAGCATGGGAACGATTTAAAGATCTACTAAGGAAGTGTCCACACCATTCTTTACTAGAGTGGTTAATAATAAAAGCATTTTATAATGGATTAGTGGGATATCTTAGATCTATTATTGACACTTAATGTCAAAACCATTTGATGAAGCATATTCGTTAATTGAAGAGATGACTACTAACAATTTTCAATGGCCCTCTGAAAGAGTAAATCTAAAAAAGTAGTCAGTGTTCATGACTCTGGTGCAATTTCTATTTTGGCTTCTCAAATCTTTGCAATATCAAAGAAGCTGGATCAAATAAGAATGAATATATCTCAAACACCACCAGTGGTTGAGGAAAACTCATGCGGACAAATGATAAATTCTCAATGATCATATGAAACTTTGAATGCAATAAATAATCAACCTAATAATCCCTATTCTAATTATTACAATCTTGGTTGGAAAAATTACCCTAATTAAGTTAAAATAATAATAACTCTAATAGTGTAAATCAACAATGGGGAAACAATCAAGCGAATCTTTTGGGAAATGTAAACAATCAAGGAAATACTAACTATAAACCTTATTATCCTCCCAGTTTTAATAACAATTTATAATTCAAGGAGAAGAAATTGTCTATGGAAGAATTGGTATTACAAATAAGTAATTAATTACAAAGTCAACGAGCGACAAATAGAAACCTTGAGAATCAATTGGGATATATTGCTACTACACTTAGCAGTAGGCCTCAAGGAACTCTTCCTAGCAATGTTAAGATTAATCTTAAAGACCAGAATTAGAGAAAATTAAAGTTATACAACTAAGAAGGGGAAGAGAAGTGAAAACAATAGTTCAAAAAGAGAGTGAAGTTAAGAACGAAGGGGTGGAATTGAAAAATATGAGGAAGATATTCATCATGATTCAGAATATTCTATTAAATCAATGAAAATTATTATTGAAGAACTACCACATTCATTTCCTCAAAGATTGAGACAACAAAGATTGGATAAATAATTCTCAAAATTTTTAGAAATATTTAATAAATTAACCATAAACATTCCATTTGTTGAAGCATTGGAACAAATATCAAGTTATGTAAAGTTTATGAATGATAAACTTAATAAAAAAAGAAACTTTACAGTTAATGAGACAGTTGCACTTACTGAAAAGTGTAGCGCTAAAATTAAAAAAAAAAGCTTTCTGAAAACTTAAAGATCCTGGTAGTTTTAGTATTCCTTGTGCTATTGGCGAAAGATTTTTTGTAAAAATTTTATGTGATTTGAGAGCCAGTATTAATCTTATGTTTTATCTATTTGCAGAAGTTTAGTATTAAGAGATAT